TGTGCATCTCATTGCAACTTGTTTAATACATTCGTTTTTGCATAAATATTTGCCTTTAGTTTTAAAAGGCAAATACTATCTGTAATATATAGAAGGCTTTGAAATTTAAACCTAAATCTAAAAAAAAATGATAAAAAAAATTAGCATTGGTAAAAAAATTATTGGTGATACTGACAGATCTTTTAACACTCAGTAGACTGACTTTTATTCATTAGATGAACTAAAGTGTTTTTTTTTTTTTATATAAACCGTGCAGGAGTCCTGTATTGTGCCAACAGTGAAGCATCCCGAGACCATTCATGTGTGGGGTTGCTTTTAACCAAGGGAGTGGGCTCTCATAATTCTGCCCAAAAGCACTGCCATGAATAAAGAATGGTATCAAAACCTCCTGCAAGAGCGACTTCCAACAATCCATGTGCAATTTGGTCATGATTTGTGCATTTTCCAGCATGATGGAGCACCATGTCACAAAGCAAGAGTGATTTAAAGAAGTGGCTCGAAGATCATTACATTGAAATTTTGGATCCGTGGCCAGGCAACTCCCCGGATCTCAATCCCATAGAGATCCTGTGGTCAGTCCTTGAAAGGTGAGTGGACAAGCAGAAGCCCACAAATTGTGATCAACTCCGAGAACTAATAAGGTAAGACTGGTCGATTTGCCATCAGTCAGGATTTGGCCCAGAAGCTAACCTCCAGCATTCCAGAGTGAATTGCAGAGGTAATGAAGGTGTGTGTGTTTTTTTTTTTTGCGCCAACAAAAGCCTTTATAACTTATATGCTTATCATTGTTTTTCAGTATACCATAAAAACATGTGGAAAAATAATCCACAAATACTGAAGCAGCAAACTTTGCAAAACACAAAATTTGTCACTGCCAAAACTTTTGGCCTTGACTGTGTATACATTTATCATGATTGTGATCATTGCATGTCATGACGGTCTCTCATTTAGCAATTTCAGCTTTATGTAATGATTTACCAAACCACTATTTTTGTGGAAATGGACTTCCATTTGTGCCTCCACCCTGCTACAGTTCACGTCTACATTTCAAACCTGGAAATGCAAAAACACAAAAATAAAAACTGGTAATTGTCTGCTAAAGTACATTTTGCATTTTCTTGCGGACATTTGCAAATTCAGAGCAAAATTCAAAATACAGGTAAGTGTAACAATTAGTCCACTGAAGGCAAGTGTAGTGATTAACCCAAGTGCCGTTTATTCAAACAAGATGAAGTCCAAACATCCAAACAAAAGACTTGAGTTGACCAGAGACAGACTTGGCATAAACAGAAACACAACTCGCCAACAGCAGCTTGCACAATTCAAGCTAGACAAAGAACAAAGGCAACATTAGGGCTATTTATATCAAACAACGAGGGTCACATGACAAGAACCAACCAATGAGAAACAAGACATACAACTAAGACAACCAATGAGAACATGACACATGAACCAAGGAACTAATCAGAACATAACACACAGACAAGGGAATCACATGACAAAACATGACTGTGGCCAAACTACAAAGTAAAAGACCCAAACCCCACGTTACAGTAAGACAGTGGCGCCTGCAGGTGTACGGCTGTACGCACTGTGCGTACCATGAGCGCTCAGACTGACCTGAGATTTGCCTTGCAAACATTTCAGCAGTTATTATAGGCCTGTGTGTCCCGTATTTCTGTCGACTGAACCAGCCATGCCATTCATTATGAATCTATCAGTCTTTTGCACGCCAAAGTCAATTTCTGCATAGACATATTACGCCAAATAGAATCAGAAAATCGTGCTATACGCACTTTCATGAGATCGGGTTAGCCTACAACAATTAATTTGTTGGCTATTTTACAAATGGGATTACAACGAATTCATGACAATGTTTTACATTCAAGCTACCCGTAAAATTTATAGTGAAAAGTAGGCTACTTTAAAAGCGTCTGGAATGTAATAAAGGATTTAATAAAGTAGGCTAATTTTAACGTTGTTTTTAAAGCATTTGCTGCATATAAAAAAAATAGGCTAATAACTAATTAACATATCATACAAAACTGCGTTGCAGCAAATCCTTTACATTTTAAGGTATTCAGAACAGAGCAACATAAAAATCAGAAAAAGCAGCTAGGCTATACAATTACCGGGGTGGCAGTAGAAAAAGCGGTGCCACCTGCCACCCCAGAATTATCACAGAATAAAATATAAATGTAAGCAGTGTTTCATGTGCTACGTTTCAGCCGCGGCGATGACAGAGTAAAAGTAACGCAAATGAAGTAACCAAAATAATGGCAAAAACACGTTTTTTAATCAACTGTGCACGATGCTTGACCGCGCACGCAGCGTGCCAGTGTAGTCGGCTTCATAAACAAATGACTCTTATCAACCGGATCTTTTTTAGTCAAAACCGCGAAGCCGGGCCCAGTTCACTTACGAATTGTTTTTACATTTGTTCGTGAATCAGATCATTACTGCTTTTCAGGTAACTCAGAAGTCCTCTGAGAAATCTAATCCCGTCCGGATATGTCTGAGATTCATCGCGTAAACCGATTCTCCGACCGCTCGCTCCACTTTCATCATGGAAATAAGCCCTAACAATAACATGAAATAAATAGATGCCGATCACGGAAACTAATAGCAGAGTTAGGTAAGAATCTAGTCGTATTGCAGTTTTCTCGATTGTTAATATAACTGATTTTAGTTGGCACTTTTGTCCCCAAACCATCACGTTTTCAAAACAAAGACACATTTCTCAAAAAGTTTAACAATGAGTAAGTTAAACATTAGGTAGCAAAACTGATGACACACCAATCAGAATCTCTGCATGCTAACAACGGAGAGAGGAGAGAGTTTAGGCAATCATCTACAGGGGTTTTATACTTGCACATACAATATAATTACAGTACAGTATCAGTACATTAGATAATGGAAATTTCACTATTCTATATGTACAGTAAACTGTAGCACGTTGTACACCTTCAAGCATGTGACTGTCAAATTTTATTTGTAACCCTTTTTTAGGCCTATGTGCCTACTGCATTTTTGCAGAACTGAGAATGACTGCCTAGAGATATAGCTACTCTTGTGTCAGGAGACCAAGAAACTGCTATAGTACTGTATACTGTAAATTTGGCCAAATGTTCAGAGGATGCTAAATTTACTTTTTTTAATTTTATTTTTTGCTGTACTGTATTGTGGTGCATGCCAAGTTCGTACAATTCTTTGGTATTTGAACTTTTCTAGTGCTTTTCATCTACTGCAAGAATACTTTACAGTAGTAAAATTAAAATGATTTTTTCCCAAAAGTTAATTGCTGAATTATACATCTGTATCTGTAATTTAATTTATGTATACTGTAATATGTGTGTGCAATTCTTGGATTTGTGTGTAAAGTTTTGAAAAAAAGAGGCACAGTTTTGAAAATGTGTGTAAAAGCAGTTGAAAAATACCTGTAAGAAAAACTGTAATAACTAGATTGAAACGTTTGAAAGACAAATGTATGCTGGCTTGTCTTAAAGTCTTGTTTTGTTGAAGTTTTTTATATTGTGTATTGACTTGGTGCCATGATGGATATTGAAATGTTGTTATTTATTTTTCATTTGAAACAGTATAGATGATTACTTAATGGTAATATAATATTCGTGAACACAACTGTGTATGTCAGACCATAAATCCCCAAAAACTATGCATGGGGGCTTTCTTTGGTGTTGCCACCCCTCATAGACCCCATGCCACCCCTTTGCCACCCTAACAATTATTTTCTAGATCCGCCCCTGGGACAAAGTGTTACATATATGCCATTATAATTTGTGTTTTATTTTACAGTTTAGAATGATTTATTACTCTTATCTTTATGAGCAAAAATGACTGCGTATTTTAAGTTGTTTCCACTGTTAGAAAAAAATGCAAGTGATAGCACTGGCGCCTCCATGTCCTGCAGAGAGCGCTTCAGCTTCCACTCTCCGCACAAACGATTAGATAGATATGCGTCTAACAGCGCACATTTATATAGGTTAAACATTTAAACATTGTGATATGCTTGAACTGTTTTATATATAGATTTTATTTTAGGCAAGTCGTGATGATTTGAGAAGGCTAAATTGATCAAACATAGGCTATGATCAATTCACTGTCTGCCGCTGGACTACTTAAAAAAAAAAAACCCCGTACATTTAATGAACAAAAAATGCTCTAAACATTTTTTCTAAATGTACTTTATAAAAAAAACGAAACAAAATATAATCACTTTTTCATTACATACAAAACTATTTGAATAGCTGAAACAGTACCTAGTATAGTGTGTGTCTATTTCAAAAGACTACATATAGTGGAAGGGCATTGTTTTGGATTAAAACATCTGCTAAATGAATAAATGTGTGTATGTAGAAGAGTGTTAGCTGATACAGCAGCAAAAGGAGGAAGAACTTGTTAATCCCATTTCTTAGAAATTAAATGTTTCATAAGAAAATATGGGTGTGGTGTTCCAGCAGCCTCCACATTTTTTTGGCGTGTTATTGTGTCAGTATGCATATTTAGAGCTCTGCCTAACAGTGCCAAAAGAGCACACCTCATTTACCTCGGCCTGCATCTGTCAACATGCAACAGAATTGCACGCATTTGCTGAAATCATGCAAAGTGCCAGGCAGCACTGTACATGATTGATGGTGTTGTCCACATGTCGGTTTCTCCTCTAACTTTAGTAAATCACCAATCCAAAGGGGCCTTTAACAGGCCATTAACACACAACACTGACACAATCCATCTTCACAGTCACGCGCGCTCACAAATCCTCTTATATGCTGCACAAGGATGTCGTCATCTGCTTTTGAAATATATATTTGAGAATATATGGTTAACAAATACTGTCAGGACAAAGAGCTTGGGATAAAATGTGTAAAAAAAAACAAACTGATTTTCAATCTTAACTGTCAGTTGTAGGCTAGAAGACAAATTAATCCCAGCTAACGGCTTGTGCTGCAATAAGGAACCTAAATTCAGAGGAACCTGCATGCCATATAATTTTATTACTAATGGAGCTAGAACAGCAGGTGGTATACAAATAAATAAATGTATAAAATCACTTTCACGCAAAATTTATTTCGTGTAGGACGAGTGAAGCATGAAAACCAACAAATTCAGACGTACAGTGTTCAGTATCTCACAATCTCATAAGGTAGGCCTATTAATTTAGTAGCTCCAGCCATTATTAGATCCTACCAGCAGGAGGCACTAGGAGACTGCAAAACAGTTGAACAGAGACCTGGGTAATTTCACTTTCCCTTCAAAATTCACACACACAAAAAAAAATTAATTTGAACATCTTGATTAAGAGCAGGTGCAGTTTAGTCATGGTATATAAGGAATGACTCATCTTACAGCAGCATGCTGGTTTCATGAAAATCAGCACGTGATCATCTATTCCCTTTGGTCAATGTGGCTCACTATTATGTCTTTCAAATCTTATTTATAATTTAGTTCAGATGTTCATCTGTCAAAAGCTACAGGATTTTTAAAGGAGATCACGTATAGTACACTTCACCTAGATGAATAATAAATTATTAATAATTGCTAATATAATTTTTTTTTCAAAGATTAAAAATAAAAGCTGTAAATTATTTTGCTCACTGTGCTGTATGTACTGATATCTGGAATCAGAGGCATAAAGGCTATACATAAATATTTATCCTGTGTTTTTTTAAGAAAGACTTTCTAGAGTTCACAGCCCAGACGAGTGATTTCGTCTATTAGAAAGTCCACATCCTCCCTCTGAGTGGCTGGGTTGGAAAAAACACAACGGAAGAAATTCACTTTGTCTTCCAGAGGTTGATAGCCAATCATTGTGAATCCTTCCTCCATCATCTTTGTCTTGATTTTTGGAGCCACCTGTGGGAATTCATAATGTCAGCTTATAAATAGAGAATGGGAACAGCTCTGTAATAAGCAAACTTAGACTAATTTGTCTTCCTGCATTTACTGGTTAATTAAGAAATGAAAAGGCTTCATTTCTTGACTTACCATGTGAAGTTCTCTGTCTCGCTCTGGGCCTGGATGAATGCTTTGCAGTCGTTTTGGGAGATACCAAAAGCAGACATTACTGTGTTCAGGCTGAAATAATACATACACTCTTAAAAATAAAGGCGCTTCACGATGCCATAGAAGAGCCTTTTTATCTAAATGGTTCCATAAAGAACCTTTAACATCTGAAGAACCTTTCTGTTTCACAAAAGGTTATTTGTGGTGAAAGAAGGTTCTTCAGATTATAAAAAGGTAAGAAAGAGCTGGTTCTTTAAAGATCCTTTGACTGAATGGTTCTTTGTGGAACCAAAAATGGCTCTTCTATGGCATCGCTGTCAAGAACCTTTTAAGCACCTTTATTTTTAAGAGTGTATGAGCGATGAGCTCTTATCAACTGTTAGAATCATTCAGCAATTTTCATTAGGGATGCACCGAATATTCGGCACCCGAAATTATTCGGCCGAAAATAGCAAAAAAAATCTTTCGTTGTTCGGCCGAATAAGCGAAAAGGCCGAATAATATGTAC